GAAGAGAGAGGGGAAGAAAGGGGTGAGGGAGGAAGCATGGGAGGGAAAGAAAAAGTGTGTGTGTGTGTGTGTGTGTGTGTGTGTGTGTGTGTGTACGCGCGCGCGCGCGCACACGCGCGCGCACATCCATATATGTAGTTACACCACACAGGATGATGATGCTACCCAAAAGAGCTATGAACTGACTAACAAAATCCTAGCTCCAGGCATGGGAAAGCTCCTTCAGTTGTTGGTTAGGGTCACATAAGAAGCTCCCAAAGCAATATGAATTATTACTATGGCCCTCAGTTTTCCTCCAGAACTTGAAGGTAGAGCCCTATTGCTGGAGACACCACATTCTTCAGACACAAGACTTGGGGGAATGGAACAGGAATTGACCTGGAAGCCTCCTCACTAAGGGCTGATTCTCAGAGTATCAGGAGGTGCTATGTACATTTCCAGGGGAGAGGGAGAATAGGCAGTTGTACCCAGAGTAAAAACTATGAACCACAACAATGAGCAGAGTGGTAAGATTCCCCCAGTGGTGCAGTAGTAGCCTTTTTATCTCAGAGGTAACCAGTAACTATCTATTTGAACTCAAGGCACTCAGTGAGAGGGAATCCATGTTTAGTACTGTAAACAGCTAACTAACCATGGCTAAGCAGGACAACCGACTATTGTCATTTTCTTAAAGCAAATTAATTTCTATGTTCTAAATACTCAGCCTTATATCCACAGTTAAGGGAAGACCTCACCCCTCAAAGAAGCTTCTTTTTGCAACAGATAAAAACTATTACAGAGGTCCACAACTGGTCAGAATGAAACGAATAAGCGGCCATAGGGTGCCCGGTCCCGGTTAATACAAGTGCACTGTAATTCTGAACCTGAAGTTCAGGGGAAAACGTGGAAGAAAAGACAAAATTACAGGAGTCAGGGGACCTGTTGCTAGGTGGTGCTCCCTAAACATGACAGGTGAAGTACACCTGCGAACTTTCAACAAGACTGGCACAATGGCAACACCAACTGACATGCCAATGTGGATGAGGGAATATATATGTATATATGTATGTACGTACATACATACATATATTCTTAATCTATTACTTTGAAATCTGACATTTTAAAATGTCTGGGGGAAATAATTCACTATATATATATGTAAATATATATAAACAATAATAATTAAAGATTTCTTGAATGTGGGACAGAGATGGGGAATTTGAGAGATATTGGAGAATAGAGAGGGATGGATGGGAGTAATCTAGATGCTAAGCCCATGAATGAAATTCTCAAATTAAATAAGAACTTTTAAAAAGAACTGTAAATGAAACATTCCATCCACAAACCCTTCGATCTACAGTAGTGTCCTGCCTACAAGATATGCTAGTGCAATAGGGGCACAAAGCTTGTGAGAATAAACAACCAATATCTGATTTTCCTTAAGGCCCACTCCCCAAGATGAAACCCATACCCAACCCTACTTGAGTGACCAAGAACGTGAGACCAGGAACCTAGGATAAAACCAATACTATTATTCTAAAAAAACAAAAAAAAAGGGAACAACAAAATGACTCCTGATGACATTCTACTATCCTCATCGATCAGTGCCTTGCTCAGTCATCATCAGAGAAGCTTCCTCCTGCAGCATATGAGAACAAATATGGAGACCCACATCAGATATATGCAAAGAGTGAGAGACATTGGAACACTCAGTCCTAAATAGGATGTCTCTATCAAATCCCTCCCCTCAGGGCTCAGAGAACTCTACAGAAGAAGAGCCCGAAAGACTATTAAGAGCCAGAAGGGATGGAGGACACCAGAAGAACAAGGACCTCTAAATCGTCAAAATCTACACACATAGAAATCACAGAGATTGAAACAGCATGCACAGAGTCTGCACTGGTCTACATCAGATGGATCCTAGAGCTGAAAGCAAGAGTGGACACACGCCCCATTCCTTCCCCAGAAGCAATCTCTAATAGATAACCACTTGCAGATGAAAGTTTAGTTTCCTCCAAGGAAGATTTACTGGATAAACTACCCTTAAGGGTAGGCTGTATGCCCAACAGTGGATGGTCAACAGTAAATGATCTCAAAAACACCTTTGGAGGTTACTTGTCTCATAATGTCATGTCAGAGCTCTTCCTTTAAAAATTATATTATTTTATTTGTGTATTTTTTTCTCTTTCTAACAAGTCCTTTTGTGTATATATATTATGGCTTCTAGTTTAGTGTTTCTATGGGATTCCTGAGGGTGCCAACAGTGGGTCTCTGTCTCTTGTGCCTTCTCTTGGGCTCTTCTCCTTAATTTTGTTTGTTCAATTCCAATGTGTTACTTTTTATCCTACTTTATTTTATTTTGCTTTATTGTATTTTATTTTATTATTAGACATTAGAAATCTGCTTTCTATGGAGAGAAAGAAAAGGGGTGAGGCTGGGTGGGAGGGAAGGCGGAAAGAAACGGGGAGGAGTAGAGGAAGAGAAAACCATATATATTATATGAAGAAAAGAGCTATTTTCAATAAAAGGAAAAAATAAAAAGAAGACCTTAAACATTTAAAAAATAAAATGTAATGATGAAATTAGCAAATCCACTTTCAGGAGACATAAACTTATTTCTGTCAAGCAGATTGCTTCTCAATGAATTGGATGTAATGTAATGGATTGTTTCAAATAAAGATTTAATTTATCAATTACTTATTGACAAAATGGCCTGCTTGGTTATGATGCAACAAAAGTGATCTTTCATCTTATTTTGGGCATATATATTTAAGGTTGAAATTATGCCCCAAGTTAACTCTTCTGTGCATTTAATTTAGGGCTGGTATCCTTGAAAGTTTTCTTTGCAACGAAATCCTCTGGACAAATTGCTTCTATATTGTCTTTTCATGATTCTGAGAGAAACTTCACATAAGCAATGGGGGCTTCTGAGAGTTGATTATGGCAAATAATTTTCATAATGCCTATACACTGTTATGTTTATAATTAATTTTAAAAGCCAAGGTTCATCTGTTAATCGCAGCACCTGCAACTTATTGAACAGAAAATAACAAAAGACTAGAGACACTAAATGACACTGGACAGGGAGTGATGATCCCAGACCTTAATATCCATTTTGCTACTGGGGTGGTCATCACCCAGCCTTTAGCAATATCAACAAAGATTTTAAGTAGTTCAACACATCTTAATTGCAGATTTCAAAATCTTTTGGTCTTTATGATTTATTTAGAAATATGTTATTAATGAAAGTCTGCTAAAGTACCTTTGAAAGAAAAAAAAAGATTCCAACACTAAGTGCCCATGTGACAGCAATTGATGAAACCATGCCCTTGTCTGCAGTTAATGCCACTGACTAAGAGAGGGCTGCATTTATCATGACCTTCTCTGGCCACCTGTTCTGGAAAGGATAAACTTTAAGGATAAACATTAAAAAATGAGAATTCATAAGTAATACTCCTCACGCAAACCTTTTCATTGACATTCTCAAATAAACGTTTTAAGATTTCTTCCCAACTTTGGCCTTACCTTCTCAAGCATTTGACTGACAACCTGAAACTCCCTCTTTAACTTGGACTTTTCTACTTCCTGCCTGTTCACTTAAAAAAAAAAAATATTCTCGGGCTGAAAGGTGGTGGTGCATGCCTTTAATCTCAGCACTCAGGAAGCAGAGCCAGGAGAATCTCTGTAAGTTCAAGGCCAGCCTGGTCTACAGATGGAGCTCCAAGACAGGCACCAAAACTACACAGAGAAACCTTGTCTCAAAAAAACAAAACAAAACAAAAATACAACACAAAATACATTATATCACAATGCTCTCATTATCATGAGAAACAATGATATCATTTCCACTGGGCAGCTAAGGCTTCCTAATTTTGCCAGTTTAGATCACAAATCTTTATTTAAATTGCATGTCAATGAGTTCCCCACAATTTCTAATAAGTAAATTCCATAACAGAAATAAAGCTATATTATACAGCCCCTCAAAAACATAGTTGAGCCAATATCTTAGAATCTGACATTTCATAATTTCTGAAGAAAAAATCATCAATTCATCATGAGCTACGTTTCAACTCAAATTAAATTTTGTTCTGATTTACTGCATTTATTTACTAAGTATAATTCTAAAAGTCACCCTTGTGATTTAGTTATGCATATAAACATGCAAATTATTTGCATATATTGACATTATTATACCTCTCAGACAGAAGACTAATAGAATCTCTATCCTATGTTATGCAGAAGTTATAAATTGGTTTTAAAGGCCATGTAAGCTTTTTTTTATTTTAATCATAAGGACAATACCTAATTCTTTAAAAGAGAGAAAACAAATTAAACTATTTTATTGCAGTAATAAGGAATTTTACAGAAAAGACTAAAATTGGAAAAAGGCCATCTATCTTTCAGTATGCCTTATAATCATAATAATCATAATCATATCTCATTAATTTTATGTGTCAACATGCTGTTTGAGTTAGGGATGAATTCTGAGTTTAGCTGGCCCTTAAACATCAATTAATATCTCCTACTTTACTATTTACCAGTCTTGGATGCTCTTATTATATCAAACCTGTGTTCTTATGAAAACCAAGTGGGGTTGCCAGGAAAGGATTCAAAATAAGTATTTCTTCAATTCATATCTTTAAAAATAAATCTATGATTATCCAGATAAAAATCAATGAGGTTTTATGTTACCTCTTTTTCCCACAGGATCTGTAAATACATGTTTCCACTGAGGTAAAATGATGGGTGAATATCATGGAAAACTAGAAGAACTCTCTCTATAAAGATATACATTCCAATGGATTATTTCAATAACACAACAGTTTCTCTTGTTCATCTTTAATATGTGCTCAGGAAGGCTCCATACATAATTTATAATGAATAGAAAAACAAACTTTATTTTATACCAGAATGAGACACAATTACAAAGAAATAAGCCTAGCCAAGTTTACCAATATTGCTATCACAAGTAAATGGCATAATAGGGCTGTTCATTAGTGCCAGAACTCAAATCCATCTACCTTGAAAAGCAGCTGCATTTCGAGATATTAGCAACTTTAATGTTGAGCTGGATGTCTGAAGCACCTGCTGCAAATCTTGCCGAGCTGCGATCTGGTATCTCTCCTCCATCTTCCTGGTACAACATGTGGGGTTTTGGGATACACAAACCTGAAGATCAGGTCCTAAAAAACAAATGGCATTTTGTACAATGACTATCGGTCCATTTAAGAAACATAGCATGGCAAACATTATGACCAATCCTGCATGCAAAAGGTTTGTGTATAGTGTGGGAAATTGAGTCTCAGGTGCATTTGCTATCAGAAAATATACCTATCATCCTACACTGAGTCCAGGCATCCTTGGGATGCCTAAAGGTTCACACCATATTGTTCCATAAAGGTATTCCTCTTTGCACTAGATATTTGAGCAAAGAGTTGATAGTTTAGGCTACCTGGGTTTTATGTAATGTTCACTGAAAGTTTGTGTGAATTGCCTACTCACAGTTTTTCTGTTTGACAGTGTTCAGAACAACCACATTTAGCTCTGAGCTAACTAATATTATTACTGAATTGAACAAAAATAAAATATGTTCACATGCACACACATACACACATATGCACTGTGCCAATGTAAAGCTCCCTTTCAAGCCCTTCCTCCACATTCAGAGTAAAGTTGATTTTTGAAAAAAGCCAAAACATGAAAAGTCACACTATTCTTTCTGCCAACATGGGATACCAACAACTCTAACAATATTGGCTTTTGTTTGCTGAAGTTAAACAACAAATGACAATATTTGAGCATTTTACAAAGCTGAGAAACATAAAATATTTATAAACATCACAGTAGGTAATAAGTTGGCATTCTTTCATTTATCTTACCTAAAGTTATACAAAAGCAAATTCTATTTCAAATAGTAAAATTGATTGAAAGAAAACAAAGCTCTCTTCTCAGGTTTATTCCTAAATGGAGGAATCAGGGGATTAGCATTCAGAAAAGCACAATAATAAATAGAAAAAAGAAACAACAAGTATTGAAGCACATAAACCTATTTAGTGTAAGAATAACTAAGAAGGACTTCAAAATAACAACAGTAGATTATTACAAACATGACTCCAGAATGCAACACTGGTCTCTAGCTCACATTCCCATGCTTGGCCTGCAAAGACACCCTGAACAACACACCCTCTGTGTGGTTTGAATAAGAATGGCCCCTATAGGCTCATATATTTGAATGCTTGGTCACTAGGTAGTGGCACCAGGTAGTAGCACTATTTGAAAGAATTAAAAGGATCGGAAGGGGTGGCCTTGTTGGAAAAAGTGTGTCACTCTCATTTTCTCTGCCTGTGGATCATGATGGAGCTCTCGGCTACTGCTCCAGCACCTGTCTGCATGCTGCCATGCACCCACCTTAATAACCGATTAGCCTCTGAAACTAGAAGCCAACCCTTCTCTTTCTCACAGCCTCTGACAAGCTCAAGTCCTTATAGCATATATCTACAAGGGGACATGTATCTCTCCACTACAATTATCATGCTAAGATTGTATGTTCTTTGATGTGATACCTAATTAATTAGTTCTCCCACTAATTCTGAAAATCCCCAAGTGGACCATTTCCCACTTGTCAATTATTCCAGTCACTGAGGACATGTCCAGTATATCAAAAACAGTCAATAACATAGACATATTTAATCCTTTAATCCTTACATCAACTTTATGATGTATATACCATTACTGCCACATTTCATGTACAAAGAAATACAGTTTGAAAGATGCTTCAAACTTCATTGTGTGAAGAGGAAGATGTTGCACAATGATAGAGTGTTTGCCTGTTATGTGTAGGGCCCTGATTCAATGTCCAGCACCTCAAAAAAAATTTTTTTTTATATTAGTTGGGTAGGGTAGTACACACCTGTCTCAGGAGGTAGAGAGAGGAATGAAAATGCAAAGTCAGCCTGGGTTACATAGGATGCTCTAGGTTAACCTGGAATACATAGTGAAGCCTTATCTCAGAAAAGGAAGGAAGGAAAGAAGGAAGGAAGCGAGAGAGGGAGGGAGG